AATAATTGGTTAAAAAAGCTCATACATAACTTATTAAATTTTAAAAAATTATTTAGTCTGAAAAATTCTCAGAAAAACTTTTAATTACTTCATATCATAAATGCTCTTAACAATTATAATTTCATTTGTCTAATATCAATCATTATTTTTGTGAAAATGCATTAAACTATATGTCGGAATAACTAACATTTGTATACACACATAAAATATAAACTGATTAAAAGATAAATAAATATATTTGGTTTTTTGACTTTTTCTGTGATATTTTATTTAAGCATGCAATATTAATGTTTATTGTATTCTTACGAGAGCATTTACACTTATATATGAAAATATAAGTGTCAATCAAATAACATTAGTAGATGAAAGATGAAATGCATTATGTAATCGAAGTTGTACCAAAAATAAAATGACAACATCAAAAAGTTGGAACTTAAACCGAAGCTAACGTGACGTTTAATCTACCTTAATAAATAAAAAATATTTTTCTCAAATATCAATTTCTCATTAAATTTGATATATATCATTTTCTAAGAATTTTAGAATTATTTTTTTCCATTTGTTATTTTATATTATTTTCCTTTTTATTCTTTTATATATTTTTTTTCAAATTCTACCTATTAAATATCACCTTATATTAATTAATTAATATGTATTAATATACATAATAACCTTCCATCTGTGAATTTCTATTTCAATTTATATATATATATATATATATATATATAAAGTTTCCATTTTGTGAATTAATATTAATTAATTTTCTTAGTATAGATTAATTAAGACAAAGCTACATAAATGGTCCTTATAGGTTACCAAATGTCACAAACTTAGTTTATGCTAATTATTTATTTAATTTTTTTTAATCAACTCGTGTAGCACACAAGTTTCATACGTAGTTTATGTTATATATATATATATATATATATATATATATATATATATATATATATATATATATATATATATTCTTAATAAAAACCTCTTCTACATACCACATTTCCATCTTTTAGAGCAACTTCTGCCACGTGTAATGATTAAAGAGCTCTTCAATGTCTTTTTCTCGCCCATCCCTTTTATGTGAAAATTTTAAAATCAAATTTTAAAGAATTACGTAGTTCAAGCAAGTAATTTGTAAACTAAATCCCCAAATCTTAGGCCAATTTGAAAAGAAAGTTCTACACACAAAGAACGACAACGATGAAGGTAATCTCAGGAAATCAGCTCCCAAATCCTTCTTTCTCCTTTGAAACCTTAAATTATTGCTTCCTAATCTTCAAGTCTCATTCTCTCCAAGAAAATTTGAAACTTTTGAACTAAAAACAAAAAAAGGGTAGACGATTTATATATGATGATTTGCAATAAGGAAGAGGCAAGTGGAAGGAGAACAGACTATTACAAGACCCTTCTTACACATTTGCTCTTCTTCTCCAAGGTTGCAGACACCGTTCGATTCTTCGAGCACATCGTCTTAATCCTTTGATTCATCAATCGATTGTAGAACATTCTTCCACAAAAATCGACGATTCCTCAACTTCTTCAAATATTCAAGTAAGATTTTTCTTTTTCTTGAGATCTGATATCGATTTTGAGTTTTGTTTGATGTCGATTTTAGGTTTTGTTAACAAAGGAACAAAACACCTTTATTTGCTATGATTTTATGACTTCAGGCTTGATTTTCATTTATTGCGCCTTTGATTTTAGGAGCCAATAGGGTTTTGTTCAATCTCTGCTCTGATTTCCGATTTTAGGTTTTTTATTTGATGATTTTGAAGCTATGTTGAAATTATACCTCTATGATTGTTGCTCAATGTGGATTCATACATGTGCTGGGGATTCAACTTCCAAGAATTTGCAAATGGAAGCCACTGGAGAAGCTAATATCGGTAGCTTGTTGGATAAAATTAAACCACCGCTACTCTAAGATGCGGGTCTTGAGGATTGTGCACTACCTCCAGACTCCATACAAGAATTCTTCCTGAAGGAGGCCACCATTGTCCGCTCACATATTTTCCACAATTTCGATGATGAATCAGAAGGAGATTGCATCAATGATCCATGGCCTGGAAATGAATCTGGAGGAGATAGACTCATTGGAATCACAATCGAGGCTGATCCTTCGGGCGCTTGTGCTGCAAAGAAAGGCGGTGAGTTGCCGAAGATGATAGGAGATGATGTTCTTACCTTCGGTAGGGAGGGTATGCCAGATAAGGTGGTGGAATCGGAGGTGCCTGAGGAGGCAGAGAAGTCATGTGTTGACGGACTACAAGGATTAAAATTGGAGACAAAAAGGTTAATGGAGAAATTGAAGGTAAGAAATCTGAAAGTGGTAAGAAATTAAACGAGGATGATGAAGAAGACGATGAGAGAATCCCAGTTTTGGCTGAAGTTTGTATATGATTAGACTGTTTGAACTTATGCTTGTAGTAGCACTATAGCAGTAGTTATGTAGTATATGTTATATGTTTTTTACAATGAATCCTTTAAATTATGGTTCAAATTATATGATAAACTATGGTAAATGTTTTAGTTGTTTTTAAGATTTACTTTGTGTTTACTTGATAGTTGATTATGATACTTCTTAGGTACTAATATGCTTGAATGAACCAAATGGCGGATATTCATGTTTGGAAATATGTGGTCAGGATTGTTGTCTTTGTCTTCTTGGTTGTATGTTATGCATCATTATTTTTTGGTAAATACTTAATATTTTATATTTTTTTGCTTTATGGAATAAGTTGAATTTAATATTTTGTTTTGTTATCTCCATGCATATATTATGTGCATCCTTCTCAATAGCATTTGCACTTACAGATCAAACCAATATATTTTACTCTGTAATTTACACTCAGTCCCTACAACTGTCATTGGTATCCTAGACAAGGTCCCAAGTCCTATATGGAAGTTGCGGTAACAAACATATATATATTCCTTAATCATAGATTTTGCATTGTACTTTTGTTTATTGGTTTATTAAACTTATGATGGTTTTTTATTTAAAAAAGAGATCCAGGAGGTGTGGATGAGGTTATTTCTTCATAAATTAATAAACAAAGATATTGTTTCCATTTGGAATCTGTGATTAAGTCTAAAGGGTATTCAATCTATCATCAATAAAATAATTATTGAACTTGAAACAACATTGAATTGTCTTGGGAAACCCATGGCTACAAATTCTAGAGTAAGCGTGATCAATATTTTCAAGGTTACTCTGTTTGGTGTAAAGTGGTAACTCGATGGATCTTTTGCAGGGTAAATTATAGTATTGTAATTTAGTGTTTTTTTTAGTATTACCGGGAGTCTTCGTATTTTGATAAAATTACCCAGTTATAGCAATGAAAATTACTATATTTTGATGGTGTTGCTATACTTGGTCAAATTTTAAAGTATAATGTTTAAATATGATGAAATAAAAAATAAAATGTTGTAATAAACAAATTGCAATAGATACCAACATCCTTATATTTATTTATATGTTACAGCATCCTATTTTTGTTTTTGTTTTTCATATTTTAACATTGTACTTTTGGGGTTTTTCTTATTTAGGCATTTTGTTTTCAAACATTCAAGTATAGTATTGTACTTTTAAATAATATGTAAACTATTTTGTATGTGCTATGTTGTAATTGGTAGAATTTTTTGTCTAATATGTTAATAGTTGATAAGGAAAAAAAATAATTGCATGATTTATTACTGCAATAAACAATATTTCATGCATTTACCCCTCTTTAAGAATCAAATGAATATATGGCGCTGTTGTTTTGTTATAATATCCTTCTTTTAACTCTGAAAAGTACAATTTTATAGTCGTAAAAAAAATATAAGTTAAATACTATGACAAAAAAAAATAGCAAGGTACTTATGTTTAATTGTTTACTATAACATCTTACTTTTTTTTTTTTTTTTTTTTTTTTTTTTTTTTTTTTTATCTTTTTCCATATAACACGTTTATAAATTACTTTTATTTTATGTTTCTTAAAAATATAATAGTAATGTCACTTACTATTTACTATATATATTATTTTTATTTGCTAAACTGTGTAATATACGGGTTATAACCTAGTATATATATATATATATATATATATATATATATATATATATATATATATATATATATATATATATATTACTTGAGTAAAATTCCTTTTTTATTTGTTTAATATGCACATAACATATTCATCAATGAATGATTGTCATTCTCACATGTATTATGGTTTTTATTTGAATCTCTTTGTGTGTGTTTAATCATTACCTAATAATTTAAATTCGAAAAATAGTAAGAACTGTTTATGAGAACAAATCTTATCTACTTAGGGATTTAATAAGGGATTTGACGAAAAATCAAATCCATACAGTGGCATTTTGCATTTTTTTTTCCAATTTTTCGTCAAGAAGGCTGTTTATTTGAGGGTAAGATGGTCACGACACAATTTGTGGGTTTACAGAGTTCTAGATTCGAGGATTTAAACTCAAATGGTTCCAAATTTGTTAGATTAAACTCGAACGAAGATGAAGTGTTCCAGAAATTGTTCATTAGCTTTAGCTTTCAATTTCTAGGGTTTCCGTCAAGGTTGTAAAAATCGCTCTACGTTAGCTAGTCGGTGGACTGAGGTCAAGGGATTAATCGGCTAGGCGGAGAGTAATCGGGGACCATTAATTGCTAATTTGTTAGATTTTAAAAAATTAAATATGACTAATATCATATAAAAGTTCATAAATACCACTAATATCATAACAAAATAGGTTAATATGATAAATACAACACTAATCATAAAGTTCATAAATACCACTAATATCATAACAAAATAGGTTAATATGATAAATACAACACTAATCACACCTCAAATAGTTTCTATTGAGATATAACTTCTTCAAAGTGTTAAAATTTCATCGGGTTCTACTATTCAGTCATTTTGTATGTATGGATTAATCGCTAGACGCTCTCTAATCGGTCAAGTAGCGCCTAGGGATTAATCGGAGATTAATCGGGACCTAATCGGGATTTTTACAACACTACTTTCCGTAATCGTTCCAAGAATAAAAACATTAACATACAAAAACAGATTTCCAAATTCGGTTTCTGTCATGGATGTAGCTTCAAACCCATTTCCCAGATCTGAACTTTCAAATCGTTTTTATCCATGGAATGTGTATCAGATATGAGAAAACAAGCAGGTGTGAGTATATGTTTGTCGGGAATAGTAACAACTCATTCCATGTTGCTCATCAGCTTTGGTTTACGACTTCTGCGATTTTGAAAATTGTTCCACGAACAAGAATACACCAAGAACACATTGAACGAACCATGAACATGATGAATGAATATGATGAACACACATCTGAAACCAACTATTTTTGGAATGAATCTGATGAATATACGTTTGAAATCTGGACACAAATCTGATGAACACGAATCTGAAGAACGTATCTGATGAACGAAGCTGATGAATGAATCTGATAAACATATTTGACGAACCAACGATCTCTGGAACGAATTTGATGAGCACACATTTGAAAGAGTAGATCATCATTAAATCTGGTGAGTTCATAAGTATTTTAGTGTCATTGTTTGTATGAAAGTGTTTGTAAATGTTTGTAAGAGTTTGTTTTAATTGTTGTATCCCCTAGAAAATCCTATATTTTCTACTTTATTGTGAAATGTAGTTTTCTACCAAGACTCGACTGTTCTGTGTGTTGTTTGTTTGTGAAAGTATGTAATTTTCCCAAGTATGACTATCATTACCAAAATATACTTTACATTACCGTTTATGTGAGAAGATCACAAAGTGAATGCAATGGGAAAATAATGATGTACTGTAGTGTTGTATATAGTAACTACTGTTGTACTAACTACCTTAAACCAATTGTTAATTATGGTAAATGTGATATGATTCTAACCATACTTGATCGACTTGTAAAACACGACGCTCGAAGACGTCGACATGGTATGACATTCGTCACCCGTAGACCTGCAGGTCCCATTGTAGCTAGCATCAAGGTGTAGGAAGGTCAGTCTCGTATAGATCTATACACAAATTCACGCTCTCCCTTCAGGAGACTCTGTTTACAAAACGTGACACAACAGTAGATTGTCATGCCATGAAGTAGTGGCTCACATTAATGTTATAATATTCTAGTGTTTGTATAGTATGTTCTAGTGTATTGTATGTTCTCTATGTTCTAGTGTATAATATGTTCTCTTTGTATAGTGTAGTGTATGCTCCCTTAGTTTCTCATCATAGTATGTTCTTTTTGTTTCTCATAATAGTAAGTTAGTATTGACTCATGAATGAACTGACTCTTGTATGTTTCATTGTATTAAAATAGTGAGTAGCAAACCTCTAAACTACACCTATTATAGTTTACTAGGAATGTTGTTTGAATGACTAAGTATGTTTGTATACCTTGGCTAGCCAAAGGTGATGAACTGATGTAAGAACTTTTATATCTATACATATATACATAATATATAACTAAGATTCAAACGACACTCGGACAAACAACCGGATACCCGAAGTCCACAACCAAACAAGGAATAGGAAATAAAGTGAGTTATCAGTCCTAAGCCCTTTCAACCTTACTTATATAACTATATCTATATAGACATGATTTTGACAATATATAAGTTTAAAAGAGTTTAATAAAGAGTTTAGCATAAAAAGGGTTTTAACCATTTGAGTGGTTATTGATGACTTGATGTCAGTCTATAAAATGTGTTTGAAATAGTTTGCTTGATAAAATAGTTTGAAGTATAAGAAATCCACTAGATTGATAGTTATTAATCACATGCGATTGATATAATAACTATAATAGTTCTACTTGTACCCCCCCCCCCCCCCCCCGAATAAAAGCATTTAAAATCATTTAAAATATAATTTAAGGGGTATGAACTCACCTGTAGTGAGTGATACGAATATAAGATCGATATAGGATACTAAGTTTCAAGTGAAGCCTCGAGCACAAACGGATCCTATTAAGCATATAATGATACATATATGTATATAATTAGTGTATATACAATTAATCATGCAAGGAAGCCACTTTAGTGAATAGGAAACACTTGGATTGAAGTGTTTTAATCACACCTGATTGAATCAAATGGAGTTTACGGCCACACCTTTGGTGTTTACGACCAAGGGGAGTTTACAGCCATATAGCATGACTGTAAGAGGTGTTTAGGGACCTAACTAGCATTCACTAAGTGTTTACGGTCCTAGGCTTGGACATATATCGAGTTTCTAGCCGAGATATGCACCACAACAATGGTTTACGGCCATACAAGGGTTTACAGTCGTAAACCGTAGATGTTCATGCATTATATGATGTTTTAAGGCTAGG